AGGAACCCTGGTGAGTTAAGATTCGATTGCGGGTTTGAATTTGTTGTCTCATTCGCCAAAGGGGAGATACGCTTTTTGGATACTGTGCAAATCATCTCGAATTGCTTTAGGCCTCTGAAGAAGACGATAGCGTCGAAACGTTAGGCCGTTGAATTAATAAATCGTTCCACCTAACAACCTCGCACGGCACAAGAGTATTTAAATAAGGGACCAACAAATTTTTCTTTCACTCTTTCTTTTTCCATTCAGTATTGGCCTTGTTCCTTCTTGAATCCTCCATCTGATTCAGAACTACGACGTCACTACCGCCTGCTGCAGTGCCTGTATTCCACAAGGCGCCACACGTCCGACCGAAAAGTACAACGGTAAGCGACTTCATTGACTCCTACTTCACGACGCTTTCACCTTCCATCTGCCTCAATATATACGGGTATACTGTAATCAAGGGCTTTTCGTGTCAATATACGTATATAAGGTCGTCCTGTTAGTATAGAAAACACCAGATAGAAAGCCCTGTGAGGGGATCGTATATCAGTGAGATTAGGCAGATCTAGACGCATTACACATCAGCGACTGTCAGAACATCAGGAGTTCTTCAGTGTCCCAAGGAGAAGGCAGCTACTGTAAGTTGGCCGATGGGAATACATGGGTATGTGGCTTTGTGTCCTAAGTCTGTGTTTTTCACACTCGGATCACACGTTACCGTTACACTCCCTTACGCTACCATGAATACTGATAACTCTTTGTCGAAACGTACAGAAACAAGTATTATTAGCCATGGGGATGGGTGTCCTCGCAGTGTAAGGGATTCAGGGCCATCGAGTTGCAATCGGGTGCGCTTCGTTGCGCGCGTCCGTCGAAACTAGGTCATGCCGCAGCGTCGCAAGCGGCGAGCCGGCCTGCGATACTTGACAGACGTCGCAGCGTCAGTGGGGTATACGTTTTGCGCTTGGTCTACAGCAGTCAGTTCAAAGAGAAGATATCACAGACGAGTGCAAACCATTCGCTCCACTGACACTTTGTGGTACTGTAATATCATCTCGAGACCTCAGTGTGGTGCTGAAGTGGGCGGCGTGACCTACTTTCGACGTACGCGCGCAACGGACGTCCTCCCTTTAGACTCATTAGGTAATCTGCGGGCCGCTGCAACCCTCTTCATTCGCCGCGCGATGGGTATATTGGAACACCCTACTGGGCGAGGAGGCACCAATGATTATTAAAGCTGAGTGACACCCATGAAAGTCGGCTCTAATTGGTGCCGTTCTCGAGACGCCCCCCCCCCCCCCCCCCCCCCCCCCCCCCCCCCCCCCCNCCCCCCCTCCTCCCCTTCCCCCACCATGTCCACTTCCGAATGCATGTGTTTACGAGCTTTCGCCATGAATTATAATGATTTTCAGAAACCGAAAACGGCATTCGAAAGACTTGCCGTCGATTACAAGGAACGATTGACGGGTGCCGGTGATATGGATAAATTCCTGAAATCCATCTATTCAAATGCCTACATAGCCCTGATTGATGCCAAAGAAGCTCCGAATGTCCGCCTGCCGCTGAATATGAGACGAGCAGCAGGACTTTACACTCAATGACTGCGCTACATCTGAAAAGCCGTTAAGGACCAAAAGGATCACTTATCGCGATCAGGGAAATCGTCTGTTATCCCCACTCGGAATTCCTTTGATCAATGTTGGAAATGTTATACATTGTAAATATTTCGTTACGCTCAGCTGCAAATTGCAATCTTTGATGAGACAAAGGTAATTTAAAATATTGTGCGTGTGTGATTAATTATTTAATGTTTAATCAAATAAAAATTACCTGAATAATCGAAACTCATTATTGTTGCGGAAATAGTCAAGTGGAAAATTTCCACAGCCTCTGTTTAAATCTTTATTGTTTTTGTCGTTAGCGGTTCGGATACTATCAGGAGGGCGCTACGGAGATGCCTTGACTCTGACCCCACCAACAAGTCATGCACCCTACCACAACTACGGTCAACTTCAAGGTACCAGTAACACCCAACGAGGTTGGTAGGTTGACTTCTTATTTCTGCAATTTCCCCCTCAATAATTTCCCTTCTTTTTTCCCGTTCTTTTCTTTTTTTTTTGTTATTTGAGATGGTATCCATGGTATCCTCATTGGAGGCGAACTTAAGGTTTACAAGTTGCGCTTACAGGCGCTTTCTACGGGCGTGGTGGCTTTTTCAAGTTGGAGAGATTGAGTATCTCCTTCAAACAAACATGGTAGCTCAGTGGTCATGAAGATTTATGTATTGCCGACAGCGTGCCTGTAGCGGGCAGATTTCAGATATTGCCTCAACCTACTATGTCCGCTCTTAGGGAGCAAAAATGGACGGCGGGTTCTGGCAATTGGCCAGAATATGGGCGTAGACCAGTTGCATTCAAGTGGATAAGAATCTGAGAAAAAGAACTCTGGGATAAGAGCATGTTCGAGATTGTTTGTAGATCGGCACACATCATAGCTAATGAATCTCCCAAACCCAGTTGCTTCATCGTGCCGGGACCCCTCATCCGCATCGTATATAAAACAAAAGTGCCTGGTACCAATTATGAGCTTACCAACTAGTTCAGGCACATCAAGGGCATGTTCCACTTTGAATCCAACGACAACTTCAGACCGTAACGGACTCGATTCGGAATTCGTTGAGAGTTGATAAAGAATTTAGTATGGTCTGCTGAAGAACCAACATTTCTTGGCGATCACGTGGCAGTGGCCCTGCTTCTGGTGATTTCCACGTACCAGCGTTTCTTCAAATTGTCTCTTTCTTCAGGTCTTTAACTCGTAAACCTGACCCTCCACTTCACTTCGAGGGTATGATGCAGGTGAAGGGCAACACACAGCTCGAAGACGACTTACAGTGGGTTGGGTTTGTAGGTTCAGCAATTTTGCCGTGGAATACTACGAAAACCCTAGGTGACCCCCGAATAGTCAGTTTGAAGTTATACGAAGTCATAAGAAATGAAATCTCTGAGTTCATGCAGCCTAGCTCCCCATGTTTTGTACCTGCCTACCCTCTCTGAAGCTTTTATCGCTGAAAAACCACATATCATAGCAATTATGTATTCGTATTTTCTTAGGTTCGGATCAGCTACTTCTAGCTGCATCCGATTTTGTACTGCTCAAGTGTTTTGAAAACAGCTCAATTTTTTCTTTTTTTCGAACAACTTAGAGGCACAGTTCACGATAATTTTGTGGTACCCTTCTCAGGTTGAAAAGCGAAAGTGTTAATGTAGAAGAGTACATCGGTAGCGAAGAAAGCGAGAAAATTCGCCTACTTCAAAGCTTTTTAAAAGTAGTGGAAGTGGAGGTAATAAGAGTTCACCGTGACGGCAATGGCTCGTAAAGGGTGTTTGGACGAGATTTCACTGGCTTCCATTGCGCACAGAGATGACTACATCGAGCTGGAAATGTCCAAAACTGTCTTTCTCTGTCGCCATGGATTATGCCAAGTTGTTTGAACTTCCTACATGGGAGTCTCTTGGGGATGTGCAGCCCCTACAAAGCCGTTGAAACTCGTCCACTATAGGGGTGGCATTGACAAGATACAATCTCGGGCTCCTTATTGTGCCCTTTCAAGGACGTTTTTCGACTTTATAGGGGAAGACTCGAATCCATGCTGTAGGGTATTCTCAGAAACATTTTCTTCGTGAACGGAAGTTGAACTCGCTTGACATTCTCCATTTGACATTTAACTTTCTAACATTATCAAATAAAAAAAGTTTTTTACTAGTTTGAAAAACTGATTACATAGCTTCCAAAAGTTTTATTTACCTCAACAACTTAATCCAGCACGAAAAAAGATCTTTTCATTGGGTTATACCATTTTCCACTAATAACAGGCGCATGTTCCGTCACTGCAGGAGCCCTTACGCCCAAACTGAAACGAGATTTTTAGGTGGTTTAGAGTTTAGAGTTTGAGAATTCGAAAGTCTGCTACCGTAATTCGCCAGAAATGTTTCGTCCATAAAATGCATTTCAGTACTTTAGATGCTACGCGAAGCGAGTTATGGGCACCTTCTGCTCCAAGGTCTCCGAACTTTGAATCTTTTAATCAATTCATATGCAACCTTTAGGAACGATTCTACTAGTCCCTTAAAAAGTCACCGAGTATGACCATTAACTAATAAGTACTACGGAGACTTCGTTCCAGAATCACCGCAAATTTGTACTTGATCTTATTTGAGAATGAGGCCGAAATCTTTTTATTAGTCAACTACCACAACACCTTTCCTTCACCAATAGATACGTTATTCAAATGAATTGATGGAAGTTATGGTGAAGAATCCACCCGCTGGCCTACCACCTCAACGCGGTGGGTGTGTGAACGTGCGGCGTGTGGGCGTGTCCGCTTTACCACTCTTGTTTGAATAAAAAACGGGTTTTTGTATTTT